GGAAGAATAATTTTTGGAGGTGAATAGTGAAAATCGGTTGAAGGGGTGGCATGTTAGTCCAGAGAAAAATAGGAAGAATAGCAAGATATTTAACTGATTTTGAAAGTTAGAAATCAACGTAATCTTAAGATTTAATAGCAGTGAACTTTGCGAGTACTGTATTAAGTTACCGCACTGTCAGAGCGATGAATACTTCATTTGAAAATTTGATGAATTAAATTTGACAAAACTAAGCTTAGATTTTACGTGATAAATTTGATAAAAAATTACTTTGAGAGTTTGAGCTTTATACTAAATCCAACTTCCCACAGAACGATGTTATTTCCACATGCGTTTTGCTTCATTTTAGCCTAATTTTTAGCGTAACTGTATATATACCGGCGTCTGTGTGGTTCTGTCAACTTATGTGTACGTTTGTGTGGTTCTCTCTACTCATGTCTACGTTTGTGTGGTTCTGTCTTCTTCTGTGTACATTTGTGTAGTTCTTTCTGCTCATATGTACGTTTTTCTGCGGTTTTTTCCGTTAATTTTTTAACATGATTTACTGTACACTAACATGCGCCACCTTCTGCGTTACTGACAGTGTGCGCTTATATGTCACTTAAACAAACTAACAAGGTATAATCTATCAATACTGCATCGATATGCAAGATAATATCGCAAATCTTCACGATAATAAATACTTCACTCAAGTGTTCAACTCTACTATACAACGTTCAATAATTGAGCATGAGTCACACGCGACACTTCATTCCAAGTTGCAGTTGAATAAAGTTTTTCTCAATTTTTGTTCTCTTTCGTAAACTTACAATAAGGATTAAAATGAAAATATTTTACAGTAACAATCTCTTTATTTGCTCTATTTACACAGTTAAAAATGGTTAGGCTTTATATACAAAAAACGTATCTACACGAATATACAGAAGTAATAAGGAAGATTTGTTGAATGGTTAACACGCACGATAAATAGTACACGAAATGCACATTTCTTACATGTTGAAAAAAACAGATACGGTAACTTGGTATTCTACACCTTAAACCTTTGCTCTGATAACCAAATCGGCGTATAGGATCAAACACAGTATAAATATGTGCACTCACGAAGCAAGAAACGTTCATCACAAAGACAATATCTCATCGCACCAATAAAAGACTCACAAACACAAAAAAACTGTAGATGCACAAAATTCTTTTTTTGCATATTCATGCGCACCGGTTTACACTAAGAGACTTTTTTTCATAAACGTTAACACGCTAAGTTTCCAAACCTATACATAAACAGACCACCAAGACAAATACAATCACACACACGCAAACACGTAAACCATAACAAGCATACACTGTGCCTACACGTCCCACACATCGCTCCAGATCTCATTAAACATTACATAAAACATTAATACACACTTCCACTCCATAGCACATATAATGTGTTATATATGTTATACGTGTTATTTAACACCTATAACATATAACACATATAACACAGCACATATATATGTACACAACCACCCCTGCCACTCCTCACCTACTCACACACCCACTCAATCCAGAGCACAAGTATTACACAGACACACACACTTCACGCACACAAACACACATGCATTGTATTTCGGAAAACTGATGCATTTTCTCATACATCGTAATAATTATTATAAAACTGTGGCATAAGAAACTCTACTTGTATCAAAAACTATTTGAAATTCTCGGGCTCAAGAAAAACTACCTGATAAGACTTAGAATGATGGAAGACTAAGTTGATAAGTGGTCACTAGGCACACGCAACGCGCACGAATCTCGGAACGACATTCGTGCTGATAAATGCGTGCGTGTGTTGGCTTCCTTTATCCTCTGTAAATAGCAGAGACTTTATAACTTATGTAATTACGGCCAACAAACTTATCAAAGGCACTATTAACAAAACGTGCTCATAACATATTAAAAAGTGCGCGAGTAACCAAAAAACTGGAACTTCTTAGCACCGTAAGTTTTAAGCAAACAATTGATGAAAGCTACTGACAGTCATGCTATCAAATCCGAATGATGAGCAAACTTGAATCGAGCAATTTAGAATGACACCAACTGCGACCTAGAATGAAATTTGAATAGATACCAGTATAAATTTTTATATTATTAGTGCAATGCAGCCTCTACATTATTCATTAATTTCCACTTTCATTGTAACTTCAAATTAATGCTTGAATGACTTTGATTCGATTGATCTTTTCCCACTTACGCAAATAATTTCTTTATGGTAAAACAAGATTGCTACAAGTATACGAGAAGACACCGTGAAGTGTGCACTTTAGAAAAATGGCATACTCGGCTAACATGTTAATAACCGTCGCTATGATAACGCTTAGAGCCAACACATAGCGTATGACGTCATAAACTCACTACAAACATAGACGTCACTACCATGACGTCATCAATTCACTATAGATATTGACATCACTACCATGACGTCATCAACTCACGATAGATGTTTACGTCACTACCATGACGTCATCAATTCACTATAGATATTGACGTCACAACCATGACGTCATCAACTGACGATAGATGTTGACGTCACTACCATGACGTCATTAACTCACGATAGATGTTTACGTCACTACCATGACGTCATTAACTCACGATAGATGTTTACGTCACTACCATAACGTCATCAACTAGGAATGTTGGAGAAGGAATGCCCATTTCACTACAGTATTTCTAACACATAATCTCATCTATAAGACATTAACATTGATGTCCACATACACTGTCTTAATTAGTCCCCCAATCCGGGCTAAGAAACACTATTTACCCCACACACATGTTTATGCTAGCTATACGATACACCAGCTATGTAATTATGCTAACTATGTGCAAGATTACAATCGTGACTTTTAGATAATATTTTAATCACTTATATACGCAGGGACGTTATAAGACATACGCTTCTTCTCTTGGCATTGAGCAAAGCTTATAATCTTTATTTAATTACTTGAATAAAGTTTAACAGGGTCGAGAGCTGGTTCCATTGGGGACACGATGATATATTGGAGCGTGATTTATTTATATTGTAATCGTAGTGTTTCGATACCGATTTGAATCACACTATAGGGAATTGATCATACTTGCGTGCAGTAGCGATTACTTGGGAAATTTTTCACTCCGTTTTCGTGTCAATAATAATCAAAATGGGCACAAAATTACTCGTACGTGAGGAAAATCTTAGGTTAAAATTCTGCACTTGGTAACTTCACAAAATCCCGCGACGTTAAGTAATGGTGACACCAAAAGTAGAATATTTATTTAAGCGTTTTTGGAAGAAAAATATAGGCTCGTCTTGGATCACGTCGGAACAGTTTTAGAAAATAGTCCTGTATAATAACTTTAGTCTATTCTTTATTAATAACATCGAAGTACAATAATTTTGCCTGCTATTTTATTAAACGCATAGAGTGCTTGAAGTAAATGCATGAATAGCAAAAAGGCTCTAATGCTTGGTTAGAAGAAAAAATCGTTTGATAAACCTCGAATTGAGTAACAAAAAATAAATTTGTCTAACTAAACGCAGAGAACAATTATTTTCAACTGTATCATCGGCCCTGCATTATGTACATGTAACCTTGACCTCTGTTAAACTCAATTGTAGACCGATTGCACCGGCCCGGCGTAGGACAATCACCGGCTACCTAAAAGCAGTCTATGATTGTTTGCAGAAACGACTTATAACACCAACGCAATCTCATATCTATTACACGTATCTCTTATCCATCTTACGTATTTCCTATTAATCACACGTATCTCGAATCTATTATAACAACACGATCTTAACACAGACTTATACACTAGCAGTTATACTTATTGTTCAATAGTATTCAAATCTATTCAATAGAACTCATCTGCTGGAAGCTTTAATGGAAGTCACGGGATTTGCGTAAATAAATTACTGTGTTTATACTAGAAAATTTTGCTGTTGTGGCAGCATGGAAGAAATCTCCTTAATAAGTCAGCAAACAAATGTAACTATACAATAGGAAAAGATTTGACTGATTTTTGTAGCATTGTTTCTTTTCAGCTACATAATTCAGCTATGTGATCCAGCTATGTAAGGTTTCGATAACAATACCACGGCAACAGAAACGCTTCACATCAAGGACCACGTTCTCTATGAGAGGCTTCGAAAATAATTTAGTCTCTAGCGACACATTTCATAGAAACAATTACCGTTATTTTGAATTTTATCCACCAAATTGGCGGCACATATCTTCAGTTTCCCATGCAATTTATATATAAAAGATAGAATAAAATCAGTAAATGAATTCCCAAATAAGTAATGTTTCGCAAATTAACTTGTACCTGCATCCGTTAAAAAAAAAAAGGTCCAGATTTTTCGTTTTCTGATTGGTTAGGAACTTTTCTGCCAATATGTATGAATGTTTCAATAAATTATTTTATCGAAATTAAATTCTTCAACAATGAAATAGTATTTATGCCTATAAAACTTGTTGTCATCCACTATTGAATAGACTTGTGTTCCAGTGGATGTAAACAACCATTCTAAATGTCTTATATTTTTCTATAAATTCGTTGGCTATTCGGGAACGTCGGTTAACATTACATATAAATGAGTTTCAGCTTGGAAGCTCAATTGGACTAAAATAGCCTTGGTGGAAGACGTGTTCTAGAACAGCACGAAACTCGTACATATTTCCTGCTTGGTTTTAGATTCATACAAGAGCTACACGAGACAAAATGCTGACGGTGATGACAATATCATTCATTTCATTCACATTGCTCCCTATCCCATCCTATAGCGTAGTCTGTACGAACAGTGTCACTGAAATCACAGTGACCAACCCCGGTAAAATTAGAAGCATAATTTCAGCTGGGCTAGACAGCGCAGAGCAGGCTAGAAGTAGTGGAAGAGCAGGCATGTCCATTATGATGCCTATTTATATAATAAATGAAATCATGCTGCAAATCGGCAGCTCCTGAGGCAAGCATTTGTTCGAAACCCTTTCTTTCATTTTAATTATAAAATTTTACTTTTTTCTAGACTTTTGTCTCTAGGCTGTGGCGGCTGTGGAACCTCGAGTTGCAGAGTCTGGTTATCATCTTGTATTAGAACGTTCAAGTTGATCTGACTTGCTGTTATTTGAGGGAGGCCTAGTACTTCCTTGCAATGGTCGTCTTAAATTTGTTTCTGTACATAATAAACTTCTTCTGTTGCGGTTCACTTCTGATCTATCGATTAATGTTCACAAGTTCTTTTTAAGGCTTGTAAATGCAGCAATGGGATGGTTAACTAGGATACGATGTTCTGCAATCACATAATTAGGAAAAGATCGTAAAAGCCTTATCGTTCATATACACCATTTTGGAAATCACGTATCACTTCACCTGAAGTCACACCGTGGCCATATGTCCACTTGGTGAGGTTCTCTTGTAAAAGCAAATCAACACAAACTTTGGATTCGATGTTGTCCTCGTTCACCGACATGATTCAATTGTTACGCCCTACTTTCTTTGCATCGGCACACCATCAATCAGTGTCTCTTCATGTGCAGAGACAAATGGTCTGATCGGGAAAAAGATCTCTGGCAGAGCTGACACTTGAAGGGCTTCTGTCCGGTGTGCTTACGGTAATGCCTCGTCAGTTCATCGGACCTCGCGAATCTCCACAGACAGCCTTCCCATGTGCACTGGTAGGGCTTCTCGCCTGTAAAGTGAAGAAAATAAGCGTTATAATGCATGTAATTGACACCGGCAGCCTTCCCATGTGCACTGGTAAGGCGTCTCGCCTGCAAAGTGAAGTAAATAAGCGTTATAATGCATGTAATTGATACCGGCAGCCTTCCCATGTGCACTGGTAGGACTTCTCGCCTGTAAATGAGCGTTATAATGCATGTAATTGACACCGGCAGCTTTCCCATGTGCACTGGTAGGGCTTTTCGCCTGTAAAGTAAGGTAAATAAGCATAATAATGCATATAACATATAGGCAACTTTCCCAAGGGCATTGGTAGGACTTCTCGCCTGTGAAGTATAGCAAATAAGTGTTAGAATTAATAAATATATTCAAAAAGTTTCGTTTTCACAGGTTACAATAGTTGTTATCTTAACATTCATCAGAGCTCACCAGTATGCGTTCTCTTGTGGGCCTTAAGGTGCGAGCTTTTAGTGTAGACTTTTTCGCAGCCAACGAAGTCACATTTGTGGACTTTCCGTCTGCGCAAGGCGTCCGAATAATCAGCAGACGATGCAGCTGTCCTGCCCAGCCCTCTGTTGTGCTGAACTGCTGCTGGAGGGGAGCCGGGGGACGAGGAGGGGGAGGATGACGATGACACTAACGAGTGACCTGACGGTGACAACATCGACGTAAGTCCAGGCGTCGTCGCTCGCGTCGTCAGTGACGATGACGTCGAACACGAGTGAGCGTCGACCGCGTCAGGAGGAGGCGAAGGACTTTCGCTGTGAGCGCGTTTGCCATTCAGGCCTCTGCACTCGCCAGGGAAAACAAGAGGTTGGGATCAGAAATAGTTATTATATTTGCAAAATTATTTTATCAGGCTTGCAGAAATCCTTATAGCAGGTATATCCAGAATTCCTTACTACTAAACTCGCAGCATAGTGTAAATATTGCGGCTTTGTATTATGCGATATCAACATCGAACGCATATATAAAACATCGATAATATCGCATGAATTTACAGTTAAATAAAGGTAAACAAATGAATTTTGATTCTCGCTAAAAATTAATTGCATCTCGCACAATGTATTGTAGTAATGCGGTATTGTATTGTAGTAATTTATGTTTAAATGCCCCACGGTATAATGCCGCTGATAAATCATTGGTTGAGTATACCATTACTTAATGCACCTGATAAATCAATGGTTTAGTACATCACGGCTTAATGGAGCTGATAACTCAATGGTTGAGTACATCATGGCTTAATGGAGCTGATAACTCAATGGTTGAGTACAACATGTCTTAATGCAACTGATAAACGAATGGTTGAGTATACCATGGATCATTGCAACTGATGAATCAATAGTTGAGTACACCAGGGCCTACTGCAGCTGATGAATCAATAGTTGAGTACACCTTGGCCTAAAACAGCTGACAATTCCCTAACTTTTAATTAATTCAACGCACCTGGTGACTTCCCTAAGGCGTTCCCATGATATGTAAGGGCGCGTGGATGACCTGAGGGCGGCCTCCAGGCTCAGCCCCAGCGGCTCTGCGGTGGTGGGTGGAGGGTCAGCTGTCATGGTGGAAAAACGCATCGCTGCTGCTCTCTCTATCATATTTTAGTCTATTTATTTCTTATTCGTATTAAATTATTTTGAGGCTGTCGCGATGGACAATCGCACAACTGCTGCAATTCTTATACTATTATTTTAATACATTTATTTGGTTCTGTTATTTTAGGTTTATTTGTATTGAATAAATTAAATCGTTAATAAATGACAGGGATAATAGTGGCCAGACGACTAATGACAGATACGCTAGTGATAAGTACACGACCAACTATCAACGTGCATTTTTAAGCAGGAATAAAAGATCTTTTCTAATGATAATGCAATGCCGCGGATTTTGGTCTTTAGACGGTTATTATCTATTTGTCCTCGTTTTCTGAGTGATCAAATTGAAGAAAATTTGTGACCTGAAATTGCCAGTCAGCTGCATTGCTTAAANAGCCAATCATTGACGGCCTTTTAAGCAAAATCCACCAATCATAGACAAGAAAATAGAGCGTAAGTACTTACGTTCACTTAGCGAGTTTTGAAAGTATGGCCCCTGATTTTCAGCATTATCGTAGCACTTGAATACGTTCAGAGGGATGATCGAGTTTTCGTTCAATCGATGCTCATTTTGCCCTTGCTCTGTGACCATGCAGTGGGTCACAGTTTGTCACTATTTGGCTATCCCATTCAATTTGAAACGGTTTAGTTGGAGCACAAAATGCTAACACAAATAGTACAAAATTAATGACAAAATAAACGCGTTCACTGACCGGTCTTAAGTGTGAGGTCGAGTCCTAGGGTCTGCAGGGCGAGGGACTGAAAATGAGGGACCTTCAGCACCACCCCTCGGGCCGGCCC